CCCCAAAACCCCAAAACCCCAAAACCCCAAAACCCCTGGGTGGTGCAATAAGGTTGAAGTTTTAATATTGTAAGATTTTAAAAGTGTAGTAAAAGAAATTTTAGAAAGTATTGTTATTAAAATCTTAGGGTGCTAAAATTACTTTTTCTTCTTGAAAATACTGACATATGGGGGAATGCTTGACTTGGAGAGGGACATCTCTCTTAGCATCTTTATTCCTAAAGATGAGTAGATAATGTACTGTCGATGTATTTTTGAGGTCTTTTAGATTTGAGAAAAGACTTTGGAACACCTAAAGTAGTTGCTAAACCATGATTCTTGTGAACGTATTCTCCCTTTAGGTACTTTCCAAATGTTTCTGGCTTGGTCGCGCTTGGCGGGAGGTGTGAAAATTGGATATTTCTTTCTCTTTTGTTTACCTATATTTAATCTATTCCTAGTACGAAGTTTTTAAATCTGTGAAAGTTGAATGGTTGATATGTGGTGTTTCTGAGACTTGTATCATCAGGACTAAAAACTCGGTGCCTGAAATGAGAAATAAGTAAGATACCTAATGGAAGGGCTTGACCTAAACTTATCCTGAACAGACATCAGCTGTGAATTATCTCTCCTTATTTCATACTTATCTACAAATTATTTAAAATGTACTTTTAATATGAGGAATCCTGACTCTGAAAACATTATTTTGGAGATGAATTTAGCTGAGAAATTGATGGCAAAGATTTGACCTTTGGGAGAGAGTATTCATCAATTGTATGAGCAGTCTTATCTTCCTTATCAATTAAGTCACTTGAAACCTAAAATTTAGTAGCTTTAGTTTACTTCCATAATCTTAGAATTTTTGAAACTGCTAATGCCTTGTCCTTCTAAATTGCTTAATTCAAAGTTATTTCAGTCTGCCAGAAACAACTTTTGGGTTCTATAGATATCTATTTGAAAGGTATACCTTGTTCTGCCTAAAGATTAACTCGAAATTTTACAATAAACTAGCTCAATAGAAGTGACTCTCCCTCCAGTTGTTTCTTCAATGATGGAGATGATTTCAAAACTAGTATTCACAATCATCCGCTCTTTCTCAGTTTCTGGTGTTTTTAGCTGATTTTTGTAGTAAAAATGTGATGAAAAAGTGTCTAAAATTAGGCACAAAAGATACTATCTTTGGATAAGCTAACTTTATGCTTGAAAGTATCGCCTAAAGTAAATGCTAAAAATACCACTCAGGAGTCCTTTTATAGATATCATTTCCTTAGGCACTTTATGCATGAGGAAGTTGGTTGCAATTATGGATTCACGAAGGATCCTTCAAAGCTCTTTATTTAGAAAAATATCCAACTGATTTATCTCTGTAGGTTACTTTACAAACCTTGGTTCCCTATAAGATTATTATATAGAAGTACTCCTCGAGCTTCAGGGAGATACATTCTTCCAGACATTGAGGTTACTTGGTATTTTGTTAGGTGATAGCTCAAGAGTTTTAACATTTTTACTTTAGTTACCTCTTCCTCTCCAAAGATCTTCTCAGATTCTAATTCTTGGCCAACAGAAATACCAGAGATACTTTCTTTAGGAAGATCATTTGATTGGGACCCAGAAGATTCCTCGTCTCAGTAACTCGTGTTCTAGAAATTTTTTGAGAAAAATAATGTTCATTTACCAAAAGAGAGCTTAATGCACAGCTTACAGTAATTTTCCCATGACAGTTTACGAAGAAAGTCAACAGAATGGTTCATCCCTTCAGTGTTTTTCCTTTAATAATATCACATAACTGCTCGAATTCCTATAATCTTTGTGAGAATCTTCCATAAGAACTTTATGATATATTACTAAGGAAAAGTCGTCTCAATTTGTTGACAAATAACTGAAATAAGTCTTGAAGTTAGTATAAAATGTTACAGTTTTATCAGTTTGGCTGAAAGTTTCTTCCATGATTTTATTCTCAATTTTTATATAAATTTTTGGGGTTTTGGGGTTTTGGGGTTTTGGGGTTTTGGGG